GGGTGGGTATGGTTGGTGTGCCCCCCTCCTTAAAATTGGCCTGTGCAGAGCACCCCCCTTCCCCTGTGGTGAGGTGATGAACCCTGTACTTTTTGGGAAAGTGTGCAGCTTGGGTGTGTTGTTTAGGGAGCAGAGAGTTTGTGGGCTTTGCATAGGGATGGTGAGGGTATTTGCAGCCAGAACATGGGACAGGGTCCTTGAGTGGGAGTGCTAGGGAAGGCTGTTGGCATTACAACTTGAATCAGGCTGTATGGAGGGACGGCAGTCAAGGGCGGGCTCAGCTGGGACAAATAAGGACTGAGGGCCTATACTGTTGAACTCAACTGTTCCAGGCTCTGGAAATACAAAGTCCCCTGGCTTTGGGAACAAGTGTCCTAGTGGACAGTCCACAAACAGTGAATCAGGATCATCAAGACAGGTGACAAAAGCTCAGGGGGAAGGTGAAGCAAGTCAGTAGGGTCCTCCCTGGGAAAGTCTGGGAGAGGTGATAGGCTCCAGATGGGGCTTGAAATGAGGTCATTATGGCTGGTTTTAACAACCAAGATCAGAACTCGGGGTCATGACTTGGTGGTGTACACTGTGAGAGGACATACCTTTCTCCTCAAAGTTTGCCTCAAGCCCAAGGCTGCCTTTAGAAGGGCTGGTGTATGGCCCCTTCATTCAAAATCAGTGTCCAGAGGGAAATTGACAAGACTGAATGCAAGTAAAACATCCAGTGGCTTAAATATTTTTGCTTATTTGTAAGTAAAAGTATATCTGTAAAGTACTTTAGTATATGCACCACAAAGATAGTTCTCCAGAGGACAGTGACCAATAAAGACATTTATAAGGAGATGTGACGGTAAGCATCCTCAGAATATCAAAAAATCTGGCTGAAAGAAACCATAATGTGGCAGGAGATGTAAATGATGAAATACTATTTGAGATAATGAGGAGCCTTAGACATTTACAAGACATCTGTATCAAGAAATCATCTTTAGAATCCGGCATCAGCCTTCACGTGTTCTCAATGGGACTTTCTTCTTTAAGAAAACTGCAGTGTGGCTTTGTCAGGCTTTCTATGTCACTTACAGTGTTTTTAGACCTTAGCAACCTAGGTGTCTCTCGGTAAAGGACAGTTTCTGGTTCATCACAGGTTCACACACAGAATGACTGGAAAACACAGGTTCGACAGTGATGTTAATATGAGCCCTTTTGCTCTCAGCCTCACGTGATGGAGCACTCACCTGGGTAATGCAAAATATTTAGAGGTTTGGAATCAGAGTGGCCTAAGCCACTGGAAGTGGTTTCCAGGCTCTCAACAGACCATTACTTTCCAAAAATTACTGCAAATGCAGCATTGCTTAATGGTACTGGTGTATGGAGCTTATTTCAGGGCCCCATACTCTTGTGATCTGTGAGATAGTGGTGTCCTGGATTGTCCTGCCTCCTCCAGCCTTTGTATCTGGGGACCTTGATGAGACACCAAGCCCAGAATTCTAAGTACATGACTAGGGTTCTATGAAGTGATCCCTGTTTTTGACAACCAGTGGAATGAGAGGTGAGAGGTCCTTCCAGGCATAGGTGTGTATATGTGCAAAGGCTTGGGGTGAAGACCGGGCTCATTTAGGAACCAGCAGGTGTCCATTTTTTAAATTAGGAACTGGTCACAGTGAGACAGGTGTCAGGTCTAGAGGAGCTTGTGATAACTGGTCATCTGTTCTGCAGGTGATGGGAGAATGGGAGGTTTGGAGCAGCAGAGGCAGGTGATCTGACCTAGGCCTCAGTAGACTTCCTGTGGTTGAAGCATAACAAGCAACATGGGTGTGAAGGAAGTGGTAGAAAACCTAGCATGGAATCTCTTGTGATAGCTTTGGTGAGTGTGATGGTAAATGGCCCAAGATGGTGAATGTGGAGGTGAGCAAGCAGTTGGATTCTGGATCGCTGTTTTAGGTGTGGCCAACTGGATTGTGTACATTTGAGGTTGAGAGAGAGGTAAAAGTCCGGGATGACATGAAGGTCTGCATTTGGCAGCTGGAGGTATGGAAGCACCATCAACTGAAATGCACATATTCAGAGTAGAAGTGTAATGTTCATTGGGGGTATTAAACTTTTATTTTCACCTGTTAGGGTGTGCAATATTTCTGAGAGCAGTTCATGAGCCTCTGGAACTCTGAGGAGCAGTTCAGGATGAACACTTGGCTAAAAGATAGTTGGGAGTATAGGGATCTGGGTGGAGTTGTAGATCTTTTTTTATTACTTTATTTCCTGTTTAACTGGAGACCAAAGAGCAATTCAAACAAGATGAGACTGCAGCTGTTGCATATTTACTTGTGAAGCACACACCAGATTGTGTTGAGAGCCTTGGTGTGGCCTGTGGTGTGACCAGTAGTCTGATTGATTTACTTACAGGCATGAGTGGTCATATGTGAGACACATTGGACCAGGAACAGAGGGCCATAGGTAATGGGACTTGGGTGAGTAAGGCTGCACCTGGTGAAGGGACATCAAGTGCAGCATCCGAAGAGGTAGGCTCTGGATATCTGACATTTGATGTGGTTCTCAATAGGTGAGGTTGAAGGAAACAACAATCAGGGAGGGAGGTCATCAAAGAAGGACTGAAGGCTGCCTCAATGAGTGTGGACTATGAGAGTTGGTGTAGAACTTAATTCTGTTTGAATTTTCCAGGCATTCAGAAAACCACACATGCTGAGTAATGAGTAGGAAGTCAGGGAGATGACCATGGGGGCTGTGACTGTGATAGTTTAGGTGTGAGAGAGTTATGGTAGAAAGAGTGATGTGTACTTGGAGACGGCATGTGCATTCTTGGTGCAGAGCCCCTGACATTGACATAAGAGGGAATAAAGGTGGAATTCATTTTTGGTGATGTCTGGATAATATCTTATGGTGAATTTCCGATTAATTCCTGCAAAGTGGGTCTATTATGATGCATTCTTGGTCCAGAGATTAGGTGAAATATATGTGCACACCTGCCTTTTGTGGTGGAGGGCAGTTACAGTGATAAATAGAAATGAAATAGCATACATTTGTGTCATCTAGGCTGTCTTTGGGATGGATGAAGGGTAAGAGAGAAATACATTACTGAAGTGGTTAAATGGAGTATTGGAAAAGAAGATTAAGAAAAATCTTCCAAGTCACGACATACTTTCGTTACCTTTGACATTGTGCCTATGAGAATGAAGCTGTGTGAGAGAAGTGTGGTTCAAAGACTTATGTGCAGAAGGCAGTGCAAAGTGATGACCTCAGCACCCTAGGATTGGGGTCAAAAGGGTGAAATTCGATGCCAATATGTTCAGGGTCTTGGAATAAGAATCTAGGGAACGACAGGTTATTGCCTGACAAGAACAGTGTTAAATCACTCACACTCTCATTATGGACATCTATCCGTACACTATGTTCATGACACCCACTATATTGACAAGGGGCAGTGCAAACTACATGTCAGTCCTATTGAACAGGTATCTATATGCTCATTTGCCATTGTTGTTGTGGGAAGACACAGCATCAGTAGGAATATAAAGAGAGAGTAACTTGGATGAAACAAAGGCCTGATATCTTCTCTGTAGTCAGAAGTAGAGGGAGCAGATGGATATGCAAGTTGGGGTGTATGATGAATATAAATTTTAGGAGAGAAGCTGATAATGGGCTGAACTGTCCCCATTATGACAAGATATGAACTTTGAGGATGTGGCCATTACCTTCTCTCCAGAGGAGTGGGGAATCCTTGATGAGGCTCAGAGACTTCTGTACTGTGAAGTGATGCTGGAAGTATTTGCACTTGGATCATCTGTAGGGAAGATCCTCACATCTCTCCTAATGGTCTGAGGTGATGCCCTCTCTTCCTTTATATTCCATCTGTAGCTTTCTCCTAAAGCCAGACCATGGGCTCTGAAAACTTTCCTCACTCTGATATGAAATGTGCTATGGATGCCAGTGCTGAGCTGTGTGGAGAGCCCTGAGGAATAGACTCCACAAACTTCTTTAACACTATTTTCCTCAGAAAGTGCAGGATGTGCCTGGGCATCAGGAGTCTTACAGACAGCTTAATGAGTTCCACTTGCTGTTTCTCTCCCTGGGAGGCTGACTATATTTAGGTCCATGTCTTCCACCTCTGCAACCTTCCTCTAGATAAAGGTCCTGGGTGATTGCATGTGCCAGGTTATGGTCTTTCCTCACATTTACCATCAACTGTTCTTGTAAGACCCTCCTTCAATTGTTGTTTGTACTGTTACCTTCCCTGAACACTATTGCAAGTGGAATTGCTCTGGACCAGCGATGGCAAGTCACCTTTGTCATCTTTCATTAACACCTGGGATATTTAGGTTTTATGTATTTGTGGAGAAGGTGGTGAGGGAGAACACTAGTTTTTTTTTCCCCACAGGGTGAACATGCAGGATGGTCTCAGAAGAGGCCTGGCCCTAATGACTGGCAACTAGTGGAATACATGACACAAGGGCTGTGCTCAAATTATACCAGGAACCAGAATGATTTCATCAGTGTGTAGATGCAGGTGCCACTGCCTACACCTCATTTTTACCTTTCCTTTCACATATTTTACACTTTCTGACTTGTCCTTTCACCTGTGTCTTCCTGGCTTCGGTCTATGTTCACCTTTGTGGCATTTTTACAGCACCTATTCCTCTGCACTGCTGCCTCTGCAGTATTCTTCAACTTTGACTTGCACATGTGTTATGAGGTGAACATACATGCTTAAGTATGTTTCAAACTCCAGCTACTCATTTATTGAATTTTTCTTGGAATAAGACATAAGCAAAAATCTGCAGAGCTTGCCTATGTCACCTGCAGACAAGCCCTATGAACAGTTTATGATCTTCAGAGTCCCAGAACTTTAAGAATCCTCTTATGAATGCTTCCTGCACATCACTTTTGTTCAGAAAATTGCATGGAGCCAAGGTGTCTTGGGCAACACACCTTTGTAAAGGAAATTCCCCTTGTCACCACAGTCATCATTCATTTCCTCATTATTTTTCTGTTTTCAGGTTGTTGGCATCAAAAGGATGATGATGAGGCCTGTTCTGAGCAGAGTGTATCTGTAGGAGGAGAGTCACAGGTCAGGTTCTCCAGAAGAGCTCCAGCAACCCAGAAGACCCATATGTGTAAGCGGTGTTTTTCAGTGTTAGAAGATATTTTGCACCTGACTGAGTTACAAGCAGCACACTTTGAACACAAAGGCTTCTTCATTGAGGCACATGTGACAGACTTCTGTTTCGGTGCAAACCCTCACCAGCAACAGAGGGATGCCAGTGGAGAGATATCCTGCAAAGAAACTATGGACAGGCCCTCATTTGCGACCAGGTGTAGCTTCTATATATCAAAGGTTTCTTCAAATTGCAGGGAATTTGCGGAAGACGTCCAAGCTCCCTCAGAGCTTCTCCAGCACCAGGCCACTCTCAACACTGAGGAGACACACTGTGGCAGTGAGGTTTCACAAGAGTTCCTCAGAGGAAAAAGTCAACACCAGGGGCATGAATGTGAAAAAGCTGCCAGCCACAACCAGAAAGTTGTTGAATCACAGGGTTTATTTTCTGGAGCACGGATTTATGAGTGTAACAAATGTAGGAAAATTTTTAGACAAAACTATAATCTCATTCGACATATGAGAGTTCACACTGGAGAAAAGCAGTTTGAGTGTACAGAATGTGGGAAAACTTTCAGTCAGAAGTCTGGTGTCAATACACACCAGCGAGTTCACACAGGAGAAAAGCCATATGTGTGTACAGATTGTGGGAAGTCATTCAGTAAGAGCTGTAACCTCATTCAACATCAGAGAATTCACACTGGAGAAAAGCCATATGAGTGTACAGAATGTGGGAGAACTTTCAGTCAGAAGTCTGATGTCAGTAAACACCAGCGAGTTCACACAGGAGAAAAGCCATATGAGTGTACAGATTGTGGGAAGTCCTTCAGTAAGACCTCTAACCTCATTCAACATCAGAGAATTCACACTGGAGAAAAGCCATATGAGTGTACAGATTGTGGGAAGTCCTTCAATCGGAGCTCTCACCTCATTAAACATCAGAGAATTCACACTGGAGAAAAGCCGTATAAGTGTACAGGTTGTGGGAAGTCCTTTAGGCATAATTCCACCCTCAATAAGCATCAGAGAATTCACACTGGAGAAAAGCCCTATAAGTGTAGTGATTGTGGGAAGTCTTTCAGATATAAGTCTGATGTCAAAACACACCAGCGAGTTCACACGAGAGAAAAGCCTTATGAATGTAAAGATTGTGGCAAGTGTTTCAGGTATAGCTCTACCCTTATTCGCCATCATAGAGTTCACATTGGAGAAAAGCCATATAAGTGTAGTGAATGTGGGAAGTCTTTTAGGCAAAATAGTCACTTCCTTTTCCACAAGCGAGTTCACACTGGGGAAAAGCCTTATGAGTGTACAGATTGTGAGAAATCTTTTAGTCAAAAATATACCCTTAAAAGACACCTGATACTGCGCACTGGGGAAAAGCCTGAAATGTGTAGGGAATATTTCATTGTTCTTACTCAGAATAACAACACTGAAGGAGATTCTATCTTACAGAAACCTTAATATAATCCCTTTTTATCAGGATATACACTTTGCTAGATTCCTCATGAGTTTCAGGTAAAAGTGAGGCTTGAAGGAGCTGCTTGCACTGCTATCCTGCCCAGGTCTACTATCTGATTGATGCCACTGTGAGTGATTGTGGCTGAAGTGATTTCCCCTCTACCACCTGACTCACCTGAACATTGTGAACCAGTCACAAACCCTGCGTGCTCTCTTGTGCTTAAATAAATTCTGAATATTCTGAACTCTTGGCAGGATCTTCATTCCTTTGTCTCTGACTATGGAATGGGCCTGTCCAGGGTTTTTCCAGAACACACATCCTCAGCAAAGAAGTGGTACCTATTTGAGAGAGTTTGTGGTTTTTCACATTATGCTGTGATGATTGACTTAGATTCTATGTCACCAATGAGAACACCACTGGCTCTGGTTTATGATATTTTGGTAAAAATGCTATTTTTTTCTGTTGTACCATTAATTGTGTTGGTTCTATTCACTGCCTGCCAGTATTAGAAAGCACTGTTGTGATCTGTCACCATGTAGATATGAACAGATATTGTGGGGACATTAAAACTTCATTGCTTCAGAAGGCAGAGCAGGATGTCAAAAAATCACTCTGTCCAAAACCAGCTTATTTTCCATTGTTACCACAGGCCTTGAAAGAAAGATGGCATGACTTTGTGGTTGTAATTTGCATCCCAGTACCTTGGTTATTGGTGAGGTCAATGGTCACCCAGAACAGGAGACCTTTGCTGTCCTTCTGTAAACAATATGAACTCTGTTCTCTGTTCACAGTTTGTGTTATATAAGTCTCAGCAATGTTTAGGGGAGCTCCTCCCCATGTACTGCAAAGGAGCCGTGTGCCATGAAGTACAAAATTTCATAGTCTTCGGACGTTTGTTGTAAGGCTCTGAGGTTAAACTACTATTGAGACAGAAACACAGTATTCATAGGGTTGGGAGAGACTGCAGTAAATTAGATGGAAAGTGTCTCTTTAGACATAAATGCAGTAATATTCCTGAGCCTGTGACTTGTGTGAACTTTGTGTACAGACATTCTGAGCACCTCCAGAAGTTTTTCCTGTAGCTGAAGTCATTGGCAGAGAAAATACGTTACGGTTTTGTGGATTCCCGTGGTCTCTGTATGGTGTTCACCTCATGGTCATTTCTCAATTTCTAAGAACTCAGGCCGGAGGAAGGATAATCCTGTAATCAGTCCCAGGATGTGACTTTTGTAGCCAGTCAACATTTCTGCTTATTCCGATGGCAATCGCTTTCACTGCTTGTCAATATTGGCTGTCACTGAGACAAAGCTGTTCCTCCCAGGAAATGAGAACAGACATCCAAGGAAGTGCACTTTCCTAATGTGAACTATTATTGAGCCTTAACATAGAAATAAAGCTGTGAAACCATCACATATGAAATAATCTTATCTGTCACTCATAAACAAGGTGTGACAAAAGTAGACTAACTCTTGTGAGTACACAAACCACAAAGTTTGCTCTTTTAAAACATTTTAAATACTTGTATTTATATATTTTAGGAAGCGTGAAAGGCAGAGAAAGAGAGAGAAATGTCCATCAGCTCCTTCCTGCACACCCTCTACTGGAGACCCAGGTGGGACTGTGAAGTGACCTGGAATTGAACCAGGACATTTCAGTGCACTGCATGACACCCACCCAACTGAGGCACATTTGTGGGAGCAGATTTTATTCCTTTGTTATTATTTATTAGTTATTATTTTCCATAGCAACAACTCTAAACCTACATTTCCCACACACTACATTTTCCTCCTGCCCTTTTATAATCTCTGTTTATGAATTTCCCAGCTTTTCATGCAATCATTGATTTTTCTTTATAGTAAAATAGTTCATATTTTTTATACTTTTATCGGCACTATGAGATGTGTACTCTTTTCCACAGACCAGTTTCTTCGTGCTACACAGATATTTTGAGATTCAACACAAATGCTTATGTAAATATTGAATTTGTTTTGTTCCTGAGTAGTATTGTTTTCTATGGATAACAACTTTATTTATTGATCTGTCTATAAAATTGGTTATTTCTAGGTGTGGAATATTATAAATAAATCTGTTTGGAATATATGTTTTCAGTTCTCTTTATTGATATATTTTTACTAATCAAACTGTTGCAGTGTAGGTGAATGTTTCACGTTTTAACTGTGAACTACATTTACTTTGTCTTCCCACCCACACACAGTATATAAAAATTCCAGTTTTTCCTCAACCCTGCCAGCATATGGAATGGTTAATCTTTTAAAATAGTAGGCCAGGAATTGCATATAGTTTTAACTGGCTTTCATTTTAATCCCACTCCCCTGAGAATTTTTGATGTTGAACAATTTTTCATACATTTACTGTTTTTAAATTGTCTTTATCTACTTTGCTAAAATGGATCATTTTTTTGCTTATTTTTAAACAAATTTATTGTTTTAACCAACATAAGGATAGGTCACAATCTAAGACATATGTTTGAATTTCACTCATTCCTCAATAACTCAAGTGACTTCTTTGTATATGGATCTTTAAGGTTTGAATACTGGAATGTAAATTGTTTTTCTCAGTTTTTATTCTATGTACTATTTAAATCCATGTGTATCATATGCTTACAGATTCTACCTGCATTGTTAACATTCTCCACCACTCTTTTATAAATCTCAGCACTCAATAATGCAGTAGTGAAGTCTGTGTCTATAACCTTTGTTAATTTCCCTGGTAGAAATACTCATCATGGTGAGTTTCAAACTGCCAAAATGATGACACTGAACATGGATATGATAAGATATTTTCAACAGCAAATTATTATATTTAATTTTCAACATACTGATGCGGTAGCAACAAATACCTTCAATAACTTTCATAATAAAATAGTAAAATAATTGGGAAATGGAAAGTTTTAAACATTTCTTTAAACTTTGATTTACACATAATTGATTCTGAAAAATATGTTGAAACATATTTTTTCTTTGTTTCTGAGAGGTTAGGGAGAGGGAGAGGAAGATGCATCACTGATGAGAGATAATCATTGGTAGGCTGCCTCCTGTATGGCCCCTGCTGTCATGGAGCCTACAATCCAGTCAAGTTCATTGACCAGGAAACTGAAGATAGTCACTGTAGCTGGTTAGGACAACCAGGATCCAAAAGTGTGGTCATGGCTGTGCCATAGGCCCTGTGGACGGGCTTGAACTTTTCATCAGGAGGCCTCACAGTTTGTCTTCATCCCAGGCTCCCTTCTGAAGGGTAGATGTGCAGCCCTTTCAGCAGCATCTCAGAGGGAAATTACATAACTGAATATAGATAAAAAGTCCAGTGGCTTACACATTTGCTTGAAAGTGTATCTGTAATGTACTTTAGTACATTGACCACAGGATAGTTCTCCAGAGGAAAATGACAAATACACAAGTTTACAGGGAGTCAGTATCAATGGTAAGCTTCCACAGTACTTCACAATATCTTGCCAAAGTTCACAATAATGGGGCAGGATATGGAAAAGAAGAAATATTTGAGATAATGAGCCTTAGACATAATACATCTGTCTGAAGAAATGAACTTTAGAAACCCAACATCAGCTCCAAGAGGTTCCCAGGGGATTCCCCTTTTTAAGAAAGACTGCAAGACCTGGACAGCTCTTTCAGTGGTTAGGGCTGTGGATCAAGGAGCGAATGGTCTCTGTTTCCATTCCTGGTCAAGGGCCCAGACCTCTGTTGGGTGTTTATCTTTAAGCCTAGTGCAGAGCAAGTGAGGTAGACATCTCTCTCTCTCTCTCTCTCTCTCTCTCTCTCTCTCTCTCTCTCTCTCTCTCTCTCTCTCCTCACTTTCTCCCACTATTCCACTGTCTCTAGAAGTCAATGGGGAAAAATACATCCTAGAGTGAGGGGGAAAATGATAAAGAAAGACTGCAAGTTGGCTACTCATGCTTTCTGCTTAGTGTTTTTAGACATTAGAAATGGGGATTTCTCTAGGAAAAGCAATTTCTAGTGCAACATGGGATCTACACTCCCCAGTATTCAAAGCTATGTTGGGATCCCTCGGAATCACCTCACATCGATGAGTTAAATTTTTCACTCAAATACTAACCTAAGTTAAAAAAATAAACATTAAATTATTCAGAAACCATTGGGTATTTTTGTGCTTACATAAAAGCAATGAGAGGATCATGACTATGACACAGATTGTGTAGGATTATTTTGAAATTTGTGGTCTTGATTCTATTAGCCTCTTATGTGAAAGAAGACAGGCTTCCACTGAGATCAGATGATTCTGATAAATATTCTTTATATAGATATGTTTTATTTATCAAGCTTTTACGGTATAGGTGAATGTTTTACTTTTTAATACAACTGGGCTCAGAGGAAATATGCACCCATATGCACTGGTTCTGGATCTTGCCACCCTTCCCAGACTTTCTCAGGGAGTCCTGCAGTGACCACCCTGGTTTCGCTTTCTGGCTGAGCTCTTACCACCTGTCATAGCAATCCTGCCCCATTGTTTTTGGGATGTCCTCCTCTAGAATGTCAGCTCCCAATGGCAGGGGATTTGATTCTTCCCTCATCTAGAACAGTCAACAGTGTCCACTCCCTTCATCCTTACTGATCATAGCTGTGCTTGCCCTTGACTGCTGCTTTCCATCCAGGCTGATTCATGTTTTCAGGTGCTTATGGGTGATACAGGATAACACTGAGGGGTCAACTCCTAGGTCCAAGACTCCCCCATAGGAATCAGCACCTGGACATCCCTGGAGAGGCTGGGAGAGTCCTGTGAGACTCCTGTCCCTGAAGAACAGGTCACTCCCTTGCCCATGTGAAAGCAAGGCTGATGCTTAATAGAGGAAGGTGCCTGGGGCTGCTGAGAGCATCACTTCCTAGCTTCAGTATCCTGGTAATCTACTGGGTGTGCATGGCCATCTGGGAACACTGTGACCAGGAGGAGGAAGCAACCCCATGCTCTCTCCATTGGGGGTGCAGAGAACTGTGGTGGGCCTGCATTTAGCACAGGTTCATGCACAGAATGAATAGAAACCATAGGATCGCCATTGACGTAAAGGTCAGCATTTTGTACCATGAGCCCCAATGGGTGTGCTCACCAGGGCAATGCAAATGACAGAGAGACTTGGAGGCAGGGTAGTGACTGATGTTAATGTAAAAGGATGTGGATGTGCCCTAGCCAGTTTGGCTCAGTGGATAGAGCATTGGCCTGTGGACTGAATCGTCCCAGGTTCAGTTCTGGCCAAGGGTACATGCCTGGGTTGTGGGTTCAACCCCCAGTAGGGGGGCATGCAAGAGGCAACCAGCCAATGATTCTCTCTCATCATTGATGTTTCTATCTCTCTCTCCCTCTTCCTTCCTCTCTGAAATCAATAAAGAAATATATTTAAAAGAAAAAAAGAACATGGAATGCTGGAATGCTTGCAGTCCTGTACCTTTCCCAATCAACTCCCTTAATATTTGTGTCTTCACCCTCACCACAGTGTGGGAACTGAGGTAGCCAGGGATTTAAGCAGGTCACACTCAGAAGTGGTTATATGTTTACTGCCAATGAACACTAAACAAAATCCTTTTTTCGAAGTTCACTCTTTTGAATCTTGCTCATGATGGCTTACGGCAGCTCAAGGACAAATTGTACCTGGATGAAGAGAAAGTGAACCATTCTGACTGAGTCATGCGGTTAATTCCTACTAATCCCCACTCTTTTCCTTTGCCCCTGCAAAGTTCCTCAGATTGATTGGCACCATGTGGTTGCCTTCATGGGGCCCATCAAGTTTGTCAGGTTCCCCCCCTGACCCCCTGAATTTGACTGCAGCCCCATGATATGCTTTGACCAATGAAAGGTGCTGGGAGTGAAGCCTGAATTTTCGAACACAAGAATCTGGAACCATAGACTGACCACTCTCTCTGTTCATCTCTATTAATACCTAGCAGGTACCTACATGGTGGCTGCTCCTTTATCCTGGTCATTTGAGAACCAGGGTGGATATATGACACGACTAAAAAGATTCTTTAGTATAAGCCACTAAAGCTTCGGGGCTGTTTGTTACTCACTATAGCATATATCCTCTCCTAATGGGTATCCATGAACAATTCTACTCTCAAGGAGGCAGCAGACCCTAACATTAGAAGTCAGCGCTCTGTTATTAGAAACGCATGGATTATTTTCCAGGCCTGCCTTTACTTGACTCTATAATCAGGCATTTTACTCGAATTACTCTTCATAAAATAGATTGTTAAAACGTCTCAGGTTGCAGAGAGGATTAAAGTAGAAATTGCTTGTAAATCATAGAATCCAGCGCCTGGCACCTGTAGTAAGTTTTCAGTCAGTGTTCGCTCTGTAGCTCCACAATGTGTGCTGACTACAGACATCCTAACAGTGTATGGAATGTAAACTTTTGTCCTTTGTATCCTTTCATATTATGTTTTTAAACAAATAGGATAGGATTATGTATATTCTCTCATAGCCTGCTGTTTCTCTTAATCATGTGATATTTTTATATTCAAAATGAGATATCGGCCTCCTGGGGTGGTTCATTTGGTTGAGCATGGTCCCATTCTCAGAAAGGTTTCCAGTTCGATTCCCAATGAGGGCACAGGAAGGGGGGCATGTGATCTCAGTCCTCAATGTGGGGGTGTGCAGAATCCAGCTCATCCGTGAATATTTCGCTCTTTCCCTTCCTCTCTCTTTAAAAATCAATTAAAGCCGAAACCAGTTTGGCTCAGTGGATAGAGCGTCGGCCTGCGGACTGAAAGGTCCCAGGTTCAATTCCGGTCAAGGGCATGTACCTGGGTTGCGGGCACATCCCCAGAAGGAGATGTGCAGGAGGCAGCTGATCGATGTTTCTCTCTCATCGATGTTTCTAACTCTCTAACCCTCTCCCTTCCTCTATGTAAAAAAATCAATAAAATATATTTAAAATAAAATAAAATAAAAATCAATTAAAATATTATGTATATAAATCCACTGATATGTGTGGTCCTCAGGAATAATTGAAATAATACTTTTCACCTCAAGGAGCATTCTGAGCTTTCCAGAATCTGAAATAATATCTCCAAACAAAGAGTCAGTTGTAGACAACCCTCCCCAGACACCATC